CTACTTCCTTCCATTCTGGTGTTAACTGTTGGCAGTGGCCACACCATGGAGCAAAGAATTCTATAAGCCACAAACTATTACTTTGAGTAACTTCTTGGTTGAAATTTGATGGAGTTAGATTACATCATCACTAGAGGAATACAGCCCATTTACTATTAGAAAGAAGGTGTAGCTCACCAGACCCAGCACCAGGCCCAAAATCTGGCCTGCTGCGCAATCCTGCCGCCCCTCGGCTCTGCTGCGCCTCGCTCCTGCTGCCCCACGTCCCCCCTAGCAGGCTAATTTTTAAGTTGATGATTTTGTATGGCCAATAAATGATGGTATAAATATCCAAATGGTCCCTGGGAGAAAAAAAGGTTCCCCACTCTTAATAAAATTTGAAACTTATAATGCCAAGTGTTATGCAAAGACATGAAGTAAAGCAATATCTTTGGAATGAATCATCATAATCTGTGATTCTTGACTTTGGAAGAGTTCAAGGTAGAAGTTCCCAGCAGGGCTTTCATGCTATTCTGGCCATATAATCAAGCCACACACAAGTAACCAGTTAAACCAGTGCCCTTACCTTGGCCAAGCGTGAAAAACCAGATATCCATATAAAGACAAGAGCTTGCAATCCAACTGTAAATCAATTTTATATTCCACAATAGGAAATCCAGAATAGGTGTAACCAAGCAAGAACCTTATTTTAATCTGCCCTGTTATTTTGATGTTTTACCTTTGACTGAAACTGGTCTCACCAATGCCCTGACTCACCCACCTCCCTTGCTTAATCTTTAGGCCCTCAGAACAGTGAGGTTCTGGTCAGCATCCAATAGTCTTAGAAACAAAGCCTCGCCCTAGCTGGTTTGGCTCAGTGGCTAGAAGGTAGGCCTGTGGACTGAAGGGTCCCAGGGTTTGATTCAAGCCAAAGACACATACCTAGGTTGCAGGCTCGATCCCTAGTAGGGGGCGTACAGGAGGCAGTCGATCAAGGATTTTCTCTCATCATTGATGTTTCTATCTATCCCTCTCCCTTCCTCTCTAAAATCAATAAAAATGTATTTTTTAAAAAAAGAAAGAAAGCCTCAGGTCTGTTGGCCACGGAGAAAGAGTTTCAAACTAGAAAGAACATGTAGGCCTCAGTTGTTTCAGCTCCAGGACAATCTCACTGACCATATCATTGTGAAAACAGTTAAAGCAACCCTGAGATAACGACCAAACACCCTAGTGCTGACCAATCAGTAGAAACCACAACCCTGACCATGACCCTAACTCCCTTAGTCACCATGACTAATGATTTTCCCTATATAACCCATGCCCTAGAAGCCATCAGGGAGCCAGGTCTATGAGCATAAGCTATTTAAGACTCTGGGCATGACACCATCTCAGTAAATCCTTACTTTCTTGGCTACAAACTCCTGTTCATGTCTTATTTGGTTTTGATGCTAACAGGCAAAAGGACCCCTTCAGTCCAGTAACATAGGCAAAACTATAGTGACAGAAAGTACACCAATGATTCCCTGGGACCAGGGGTGGGGGAAAGGTAATTCAGGGCAAAGAAGCGCAAGGTAACTTTTTAGGAGATGAAATTATTTTCCATATTTTGATGGTGATGATGGAAATTATTTTCTATATTTTGATCTATTATGTACAATTACCAAATGCTATTAAGCAATACATTTAAAATTAACCATTTCCCTGCCATAAGCGTCTACAGACTAACTTTAAAATAATTTTTTGTGAGAATGTCCAACTGAAAATATTCAAGAACACCCAAATTATAATGTTTATTTTTATAATATTCATTGCAAATTGATTTTTTTAAATTAAATTCAAAATATTGTGGCGTGTGGGGATGGTTTCCATTTTGGACATGTGGCAATTAACTGGTTAATAAATTATATTGTAGCCGAAACCGGTTTGGCTCGGTGGATGGAGCGTCAAAATATATATATATATATAAAAAAAAATAAATTATATTGTATGTAAATAACTTAAATAAGGGCATCGTGTTACTTTTTTTTAAGGGCATCATGCTACATTTAATCTTTTGGGACTACATTTTTTAAATATTTTATTGCTAAGATTCATCCATACTATATTTCACTGTAGTCCATTTGTTTTGACAGCTGCATAATATTCCATTGTTTGAATAGACCAGTTTATTTGTCCACTCTTGTTCATAGGCATTTGGATTTCTGAGATCAGGGCTGCTGTAAATGTTCTTGTACATGTCTCCCAGTGTACATTTATGCATTTCTCTTGGATTTATCCCAAGTGCTAGAATAACTGGGTTGTAGAGTAGGTTACTATTCAGTTACAGGAGATAAACTCTTTTTAAAAGTATTTCTCTGCTTTTCTTACCTGGGTATCTCTGTCTCCAATTAGACTTGGACTCCAGGGGCAGAAAACCCTCTCATCTTGGATTATCACTGCTTTGCTTTCAACTAGCACAACTTGCACACCCAGGCAGCCAAGGGCAGAAGGCCAGGTAGCTGAGTAAAGAACAGGCAGGAGCACATACCACACAAGAAGCTAATGATGATCCTACTCCCTGGAGACCCATCTTCCTAGATTCACCAGGATTTTGAGTCTGGAAGGTCTTCCAGGGACCTCAGTTATAATGCAAATCCCAAGAAAGGAGAAGGCTTAACCTCACCTAAAATCTTTCTCAGCTGGTACCGCTAATATCCAAATAAGGACTAGCAAAAAAGGCATAAAGTGCAAATAGAGTGACAGAAGAGGAAGAGAAAGGATTAGGGGGAAGAACTAAAAATATGCACCCTTTCTGCATAAGGACCAGTTTTTCAGAAAAAAATAAAATTAAAAAAGCAATAGCTACATGTGACCACAACCAATTTTTAATATCCCTGTCATTAAGGTATTACCTTATTTGTGCTAAAGTTACAATCCTATATAATAAAGAGGTAATATGCTAATTTGATCCTAATGGTGTCCAAGTCATGACCAGGCAGAAGCTGGTGGGCAGGGACAGGGGCAGAAGTCTAGTGCTAACATCAAGCTGCCTCGGAGGTGTAGGCTGCTCCCAACTGATGGGCAGGGACAGAGACAGCCAGCCAAGCCTGAGCCCACCCCAGCTCCCGCAGGTCCTGGGCTGGACAGTGGCTCAGCAGTGTCTCCATGCACAGTGCCCAGGGGCAGCTGTGAGGGGCGCAGGGCCTCGCTGAAGGGTGCTGCTGCTGCCGCTGCTCCTCAGTGGGTGCCCAGCAGGAAGCCGGAGTGGGCATGCACAGGCTGCCCAGCCTGCTATTGCTGTGTGTCCCGCCCCAGCTCCCGAGCCTGCCCTCAAGCCACCCCACCCTGTGCTCCAGACAGGGAGAGGAGGCTCGCGTCCACCACCGCAACGCCTGTGCTGCCACCTGCCTGCCTAGCTGGCAGGGACCAGAGTGTCACAGGCAAGCTGCTCCCACCCTCAGTGGTGGAACAGGGAGGAAGGCGCTGGGTGCAGGGAGGGTACCTCAGCCGGGGTCCTCCCAGTGCAGGGAAGGGGCCCCGGCCTGGGCCTGGTGGGGAGCTTAGGAGGTCTGGCTTACCAGCCAGTTCATACAAACTGTTACTCTGCCATCTTCCTCCAGCTCTCCAAGCTAGCCCCCCTGCCCCACTGCCCAGGGGGAATGGGCTCCAGGCGACCTCCCCAAGCGCAGATTGTGGGCCTGGAGACTCGAGAAGAGTGCCCGGTGGGGCCTAGGCAGGGAGCAGTGCAGAACTACCAGGGCAGAGCTGCTTCTGTTTCTTGGTGAACTTTGCAACCAACCCAAGAAGGAAACCGAGAGCGGAGAGGCTGGGAGCTGTGGATTCCCAGCACTTTAGTCACTTGAAAACAGCCCCACTTGGCTGTACGTTCAGCTGAGAAGTGAGGCGGCTGAACACCACCATCGCTGGGCTCCAGTCGGTCCAAGCACCCATCATGAGAAGGAAAAAACGGAGGGAGGGGCCCTGAGGAAGGGAGGACAATCAAAAGGAAATGTGTCTGGACTTTCCCCAGCCCTCTCCCTCTTTCCACTGCCTACAAATGCCCCAGGCCCAGCCACAGTTCCGTCTCCACTTTTAGTCCCCTGTTCTCCAACCACAGAGGAAAGAAATAAGGAAGGAGTCCAGGCTGCCTCCAGAAAGTACCTATATACCTGATTGACCAGTCCCCTCCCACAGCGGGAGGCCAGACTGTGGCTTAGGCCCTCTCCCAGTGGGACATCTGTGAGGGGTCCCGGACTGGGGGGGGCGGGGAGAGGCCAGGCTGAGGGACGATGTCCCCCCCTTGCATGAATTTAGTGCACCAGGCATCTAGTAATAACATAATTGGCATGCAAATAGTAAACACACTGTGTGAGGTGAGTCCCTATGATGCTGGAGGAAGAGCTCTTGAGTGATTTGGGGTGGGTCAAACAAATGGCAGCAGAGCTCAGCCACAGACCAGGAAAAAGGGGAAAAAACCAGAACATAATAAGACATTAGGAGATTCCTAGGTGCTCAGAAGGCAAAGGAGGAGCACTGCCATTCCCAAGGATGAGGCCTCATTATCCCCCACAATCCCAGTTACTACATCTCTAGTATCTCCCTGGCTACCTGTCATACATGAACTCAAAGAATACTTGCTAGAGGAATGAACAATAGAAGAGACACACAAAAGAGTAACACAACCCTGTGGTAAAGACACTTCTCCAGCCACAATTGGGCAGCAGTGCTGTTGCGAGCAGGAAGAATAGCTGGAATTATTCAGCTCAGAAGAGCTTTCTCAATTTAAGTAAGCAGATTGCAGTGGCTTAACATTTTTAGTTACTTGTTTCTTACATTAGATTATAGGCCATATGGAGAAACTAGGGAGCCTTGTTTTGGCCCGGCGACTGCTCAAGACTGATCAAGCAGACCTCACCGCAAGCGTAAGACCTCACCACCTGGCTCTGTAACCAGACACTGAGCCACCTAGGAGCTAGTGCTCATGAGCAGCAGCTGGTACAAGTAGAACTAAGAGTACTTGGATTAATATGAGGCCCCCAAGCACAGCCTCAGCTCTTTGGAGCTTCAACAATTTTATTGACTAAATGCTTCTTCCCAAGTTTACAGTATAAACTGTGGCCTACTCACTGGCTCCTCCTCCTAAGCCCCCAATGAAGCAGGAACGTGTAGTATAGGCTTAGAGATGGAAAGTGGGAGGTGGAGTATAATAAGTGAGTTAGAAACCTACTGATGCTCTACAATTGGACAGCAGGACAGAAAAACTCCTACTTCCTATTGCTAAAAATTATCTATAGAGAGACTTGAACATGATGGAGATAGGACCCAGAGTGCATCTTTGCCAATGGTCTCAGTTTCCGGTGCCTCCTTGGAAGTACACCCTTTGTGTTCACACACCACGGCTCCAGGAACAGGGTGATGCTATGTCAGTCTACACATTTTGCAAAAGTACATGGGCCCAAAATTGGCCAGGAGGTTCGGGATAACCAGTTCCCCAACCTGGCAGGATGGGAAAAAAGAGAACGTGTCCATGAAAAGTTTTCTGAAATGAGTCAGATCTTCCACCCGAACTTCGATGTTATATTGATTGGACAGGAGCTCGATGGCACCTTGAACCACATACTCGTTCTGTAAGTGTGAGAGTGAGCAGGTGGAATAGACAACGTAGCCTCCTGGTTTTGTGGCAAGAAGTCCAGCCCTGAAACCAGAAAGAGACAAAACAGTGACTAGTGAGCTTCCCAGAGTAGGACAACAACAGAAAGAGCTAGAAGCATGGATAGAGGTGTCTACTGTGGAATGGATAGCTGTGTTAGCCTCTGAAGTCTCTTCCACAATGAAAAGTCATTCTCAAGGCAGAGAGCAACCCAACCTTATTCCATGAGCTCTCCTCTCGAAGCCTTCTTGAAATGACCCTGAGCTGTGGCTCTAGTTATGAACCAAACCGATGCTGGCTATGGATTGAGTCTTTCCAGTCCTACAGAATCTTGACCTCACTAACTATGCTTCAAACTTGAGCTACTTACTGATACCGGGACTAGCATGGAGATAAGTGGACACACCAGTCAGTGAATCTATGTAGCCTACCATACTATGCATATCCTACTATGTAGGGTTTTTATGTTCCAGAGAAGTAATATCCTCTTGATGTCTGTCTCCTTCAGGCAGGTCCTCAGACAGAAGACCCTTCATGGGTGATGGTCTTGGCAAGAGCTTCCAGTCCCCCACGTAACCAGAACCCCAGAGCATTCTGGCACAAAGTCCTGGGTGTATGTAAATCTATCACTCACGCAAGAAGCTGCACCTGCAGCATAGGTAACATCTGCCGCTCCTTCTTTCTTGACCGCTGAAAAATGTTGTTCTCCTCCTCATGAAGGGAGTGGCGGTCTGTGGTACAGGGCACATCCACCAGCACCTGCCCAGCAGTGTTAAAAGGTAAAGTATTAGAGCTCCTTAAGGCCAGGGCTATTTTAGGTCCCTGATCTGAGGGGTTTGCAGAGAGCTCCCTCTGCCAATGCTTCCATTGCAGAGTAGCTAACAAAACTTCTCATTTTAACCCAATAGACAATTGTGAAATATTGAGTGGGAAAACAGTCTGTTTAGGTATACCCATGGCTGGTAAAAAATAAATAAATAAAACCAACACACAAATAGCTATAATTACATAATTGATATCAACCTACAAGAAGTCTTTAGTGCTTCAAAGTTCTGTCTTTGGTTCAGTCCTTAACTATTTGAATAAAATCATCCAATTTACAGATCATACAGTGCCCAGGGGGTAACTAATATACTCAATAACAGGATCAGGATTTATAATATCTTATGCTACCCTGACCAGGTAGCTCAGTTGGTTAGTGTTGTCCCAATTCACCAAGGTTGTAGGTTCAATCCCTGGTTCAGGGCACACACAACAATCAACCAATGAATGAACAAATAAATGGAACAACAAACAATGTTTCTCTCCCCCTTCCTCCTGTCCTCTCTCTAAAATCAATAATTTTTAAAAAAATCTTATGATAAAACAATGTCATATTTGATATGAAAAGTTTTAAAGTGAGAAATGTAAAATCATTCATTTACTAAGAGCCTACCCTGGGCTAAGGCACTAGAAAAAAAAAACAAAAAGAAAAATGTTTAATTGTCCTATGTTTACATTTCAAAAAAGTAAAATCATCTAGGAAAAGATATGTTCATTTTTAACTAAACAGAAACTCCAAGTAAATTAATAATGACCCAGTGTTCAATACTTCGATGTTTTCCTAGGCTGCATGAATTGACACAATACATAGAGCCCCGTATCTCAAGAACTATGAGAGGGCTGGCCTTCGCAGGAAAAAGCAACATTAAATAAGGATGCCCAGAGAAGGGCCACTGGGATGTTCAGAAAACACATCACAGAAGAAAGTAATAATTCTGTTTCCAGCAAGGTAGTGAACTAGATGTCCTGAAAACCCTTGCAATACAAAACACCTAAAGACTGGATAAAATATCCCTGGCAGTTTTTCTCAGTGGTTAGAGCAGCCATGGGCAAACTACGGCCCGCTTGAAATGAATAAAACTAAAAAAAAAAAACAAAAAACACCGTACCCTTTTATGTAATGACTAGAGGCCTGGTGCACAAAAATTTGTGCACTTTGGGGGGGGGGTCCCTCAGCCCGGCCTATGCCCTCTTGCAGTCTGGGCCCCATCGGAGGATGTCCACCTGCTGGCTTAGGTCCTACTCCTAAGCTGCAGTCAGACATCCTTAGCGCTACTGAGGAGGCAGGAGCGG